AGTCCGGGAACTTTCCGGACAAACTGTGTATGTCAGAAATTGTCAAAATGTGGCCCCTATAACTGCACAATTACCAAGATACAGTAGAACCTCGATAACTCGAATCTCAAGAGAAGAGCTAAAATCTTCGAGTTGTAGAGGTTTTGACTTATCAAAGTTCTTTTTTCCTTTCCGCGAAGCAGAAGAGAATGAACAAAATTTTTGTCTTATAGAGGTTCGAGTTATCGAGGTTTGACTGTATTAATTATACAAATACAGACTCGCAATTACTTTACATAAATTTTGGATCACGTATTATCATATCGTTATATCGTTGCAACGTTATATCGCATCAGCTTTGTAACAGTCATAATAACTCTACACACGTCAACATAAATTTTTCGCATCACGCTCTTTTTTATGATGCAGAGAAATATAAGAATATCGAAGCAAACGCATCGCGCCCAGAAGTCCCACAATGATCATTCCTGAGAAAACAACTGATTTCTACTCGAGCGCTTCGATTGCCACTCAATTTGCTGACAATCATTTGTTTCTCTTAAGTTCTCTCTTTTCCCTGCTAGAGCTTTAGTATAATTATAGTTGTCTTTCTTACCTCGGCATCGGAAACGGTCCTCTCTGCTAAATTGCGTACTTTGCAATGAAGAAAGGCGGTGCCGCCCAATTGTACCGTGACGTTGGAAACAGTGTTGTTGTCGTTCGCATCGTTCACTCTTTGCAGCTCGTCGAGATTGCTGAACCAGAGAGCTTTCCAGTCCGCAGGTATGTTGTAGGGTACACGCCGATCTGAAAAAAAGAAAGATGACCAGAGAGTGTAATCACCGTAATTTAATTCGACGAATGCCGCCATTACCGACAACACTATCGTCGGCTTTTCTACCAATAAGGAAAGGGGAAAAGAAAACGAAGATAACGTGAACTTTTTTATCAGAACAAAGAAAAATAAAAGTTATAAAGGAAGAAGAACGTGGCGCCTTAGAGAAAACAAACGCGAGAACGAGCGCTCACTTTCGCGTTCTGGTTTCATTCATGGTTTTCGTGAACTACTTTCTGTGCTCGGAATCTTTTTCTGAATTACCTTGTTATTACATTTTTTAAGAAGACGACTTCGAAGAACGCGTTTGAGCTCCGCTCATTTCGTTCGATGTAAATCACAAAAGAAAACACTGCGCGAGTTATGCGGTAGTTTGCGCATCGTGACAGTGATGTTTTACAGCATTGTTTGTATATCGTGTATAGATACACACATCATGTACAAAATGCATATTCTACATTGTCAAAGTTAGTACATCGCGGCGCACAGAAATCATATTATTATTATATTGTTGTATCCGTATATATCGTATTTTGTAGCTAATAAGAGATCATAAAATATTCAGTAAGTGCAAAAGTTCATACCTGAGCTATCATTAAAACTCAAGTAGTAATTTAGCATGTAAAATTGTTTTAATCAATGATGTACTTGGTTTATTAATCAATAATGTAATTGTCATTTTCTACAATTTTTTCCCAACGTTCTGGTAGCACAGAAATTTCTCAATCGTAAAACGGTTTTGCGTTAAAAAAAAAAAAGAGGATTTTTGATGGCTTTTAAAACTGCAAATTTTTTTTATTTATTTGCAATAATCGAAACAAGTGATAATCTGATAATACGATATCAGGAACGGTATGTGTGTGATATGATATCCCATATCACTTCTTTAGTTGCGCAAGATCTGTTTTGCAGTGTACGATTTTGCGTTGTCGTGGTGAAAAACGAATTTCTTACGATTGATCAGAATTGGACGCTTCTAGATTGGTATCTTTAAATTGTGTAATTGTTGACAATACTTGTCAGAATCATCTGGCCAACGGAGAGCAACTCAAAAAAAAAATTTTTTTGTAAATATTTTGTAAATATTTTGTAATCTAACTAAACAGAAAGCATCATTTTCTCATAATGTAAATTAATTTTTGCCATGTGTTACATCCTGGCCCCTGGAAACGGTCGGGCATGGACGAATCGCAACACAAGTCGGTTTTTCTTTATCTCGCGATACACACTTACGATAAACAGGCGTGTGTATGCGAGAGCCGAGCGAGATGTGTCTTATCCGGCGAACGGGTCAACGGTCGTATGCCGCTCTTACTCCGTCGCACTTTGGACTTTCACTCGTGTGTCTCTGCTTTTAGGCCTGAAATGCGAATCTCAATGGCCTGGGATGAGACTGTGCGATTTTATTTGAGGAGGGACAAATGTGGAGATCAATTAATTATTTATTAGACAGATCGGACAGACATTTATTAGGCGGATTGGTTGATTAAACTAATAAATATATATTCGGTCATGAGAGCCGTTCGCTAAGTGTTGTGCGGAAATTATACGTGTACATATATCCATATATACGTGTTCACATGTAAATTTTTTTTTTTTTACACGTGAAATTCGAATTGAAATAACAATTCTAAAATTCATATTGGATGCTATACTTGCATCTCGTATATGAGAAATCCCAAATACCCCCCTAATTGAAATTAAATTTATATTACGAAAAAAACTCCTCGGCCAGGAGTCGAACCTGGAATCTCCGGCTTTCCGTGCCGTCGCCTTTCCTATTCGGTCACCGAGGCACTTGGAGTTCTTCTCGCAATATTCATATATATATATTCGAACAACGCCATCTTCCTCCAGCGTGAATTAAACAATTAAAGAATCTTTTCAGGCTCTGAAGTTTTTTTCGCAATATAAATTTAATTTCAATTAGGGGGGTATTTGGGATTTCTCATATACGAGATGCAAGTATAGCATCCAATATGAATTTTAGAATTGTTATTTCAATTCGAATTTCACGTGTAAAAAAAAAATTTACATGTGAACACGTATATATGGATATATATATACACGTATAATTTCCGCACAACACCTAGCGAACGGCTCTCATGACCGAATATATATTTATTAGTTTAAAAACTTCAGAGCCTGAAAAGATTCTTTAATTGGTTGATTAACATTCTATATTTGATTAGTATTTATAAAATATATATAGATATTTTTTTGGTTAATTATATAATTTGATTATATAATACATGGTCATTACAGAAGTAGGCATATTTAAAAATTATATTTTTTTCTTGATTACATTCGATATTTTTTGTGTGTATGGTGTTAATATGTATCGCGTGATTTTGTTTATGTGTATAATGTGAACACGATCTCAGTCCAGGTTGATCTTTATTATTTCGGTAATACGAGCGCGAGTAGGATGGAAAATCTTATAAAAGTGGGAGATAAGTACTAGGCGCGGTTCTTTAAGAAATGGGAAGCGGACGGTAATGAGGGCACGCGGGGAGTTGATGGTAATTAGGTAGTGAAGTTCGGCGGGGTTGATTTTATAGGGATCAACGACATAGTGTCGCTTAGTGAGGTTCGCACTTTTGTATGTGATGTGACGTGACGCCTTCTCGGCGTCCGTCACGGTGTAATTAGCACGGCCAAAGAGAAGGACGGTAGGCTCGCGTCTCTCACGATTTGGAGAGAGCGACCTACCTTTGTTGCGTGGCGCACCTAGATACGCCAATTTTGCGCGCACCGACTTGGAGTACCATGCGCCGACGGGCGCAAGCGAATGTTTCGCGCGCGTTATATTGTCTTGGTCATTTTATTTTAACGTGAATTGCGTTGCGTGAGCCGCAGGGCGGCGAATCGTGTTTTGTGTTTGTGCCGTTTTTGTTTTAACGACTAGAGAGAGGCTCATTATGCGTCGGCGGTAATCAGGGAAGAAGAAGACGAGAAGACAGTTAAGCAGGAGCGTATGACGTGGAGAGCAGAGTGGCGAAAAGAGATCGGTTATCGCATCCAGGGCGAGAGAATGAAGCGCAACCCGGACTAAGTGAAGGAAGTCGGGATCCGGCTAGAGCGTACAGCTTGCCAACTCGAGGTGGAGGATCAGCCTTGCAAAGAGAACATCCTCCACAGGATTTGAGCGGCGAGGGCCCAGCGCGGCTATATAAGCCGCCCTTGGCAGGATAACGCAGATCCGCGTATGGCGATCGATCATCGCGCCACGCGCCGCGCCACCTGATTGGCTACTTAACATACTGCGCAATCTGCCGTACGAAAGGAAATCGTAGCATCTAGCGATCACTGTTGCGAGTACCGTTATTGAGGCGTGAGCCACCGGAGTAACCTCCTGCAAAGTCTTTGTGCCGCGGTAACGCGCCGTTTTGAGGCAAGGTCCGATCACCACTCGAGGAGGACCCGAGATCGTGATATTCGGTGGAAGAGACGATATGGTTGCCGAGTAAGATCCAAGGATAGCTGTCGACGCCGATAAGTGCCGCCAAGTTTCTCACCCCCGCAACTGCGTGTCGCGTGTTAACTTTACCGATATACCGCTTCGGTAATTCGAATTCCGTTGTTTAGTGTCACGGATTCGACACGGAGGTAATCGGGACGAGCGTTATCGTAGCATGACGGTTTTGCGTTGAAAACTGCGTGTTCTGTCGTGTTGGTAAAATAGTGTAAAGATCGCTTTCTCTCTTTTCTACGGTTGCAGCAGTTTTTCGTGTAATAATATTTGTCGCTGTTCCGTAAATGTCGTGAAACGTGTTTGACTAATCGTGCCGTGTTTGTCTAAATTTATTGTTGTTGAGTGCGTGCGTACATTGCCGTGGATAGCCTTGAGTCGTGCCGTTGTTTTTTTTGCGCATTCCGTGCTTATTGTCGTAATACCTGCGAGCGCGTCAGCGGCCGCGTGAGCCAATCCTTTGTCACCGTTGTGTGCCGCGGCTTGCCGCCGGGAAATAATACTTTTCACTGAGACAATTTTCCATCGTTACTGTCATCTAAGGCTGTCGTTTTACTTACGATGCGGGAAGCGTAGTCAACCAACGTCGCATCCTGCGCGTTGACGACTTGCCGCTGTTTTGCTCTTTTTCAAATCGTTTACAAGCGTTGTGTGCCGCTGTGTGCTGGCGACCGGCTCTGACTATCCCGACTTGTTGTTAGCGCCCGTGTAAACCGACGAAACGCCGCAATATGTGTTTACATTGTCTAAATATATCATATTTTGTTAATTCGTGTCCCTGGTACTTGAGCTGAGCTTCTTTCTTCTCTGCGTCTGAAGCCGCCTCCCGAACCCCCGCCTCTCCGTTTCAAAATCTGAGCTGCCGAGTATTTTTGTGGAAAATTGCCGTCACGTCCAAGATAATTGGTGATCGTGTTGAGATGTTCTTGCCGTGTGTTTGTGCTACGTGATTTCCACGCCTGGCGCCCAGGTACACGTTTAATAATTTTTGGATATAACCGAGGACGTGCCGAAGGTGTGACGCTCTCGTACATCACTCGAGACGAGAAAAATTACAACAAAAAAAAGTCGCTTATAGTGGATGCTAGGGCGAGGAAATGTCGTAAGCTGGGAGATGGTTCGTCTACGTGGTCTTCTTCTGTGGGAGTAGGTGCTGGTGGAGAAAGAGAGCGAAGGGGCGGCAGAGAGGTCGGTGCAGAATAAGAATCTGCGGGACTTGCGGGAGAGTTATTTGGTTCTGGAAATGTCGGAGAGAGGGAGCGGGGACTAAGTTTGCGTGTCGGCTTGCTATTGCTAGTGTCGGCGCTATCATGTGTCAGATTGGTTTGTAGATGATTTTCTAAATAAATTATCACTATGAGTTGGGTTTGATTATGAATTATTTTCTAATTATCACTATGTGCCGGGTTTGATTGTGAATTATTTTCTAAATTATTATCTACGTTGTTATTGTCAGTTTCTAGGCTCTTAAGAGGATTCTGAAACTTCCTGTTTTACCGGCGCTTTTTATTGCACAACTTACTCTGCATCCATTGATCGGAATGGAAAACGATTCTCTAGAATAAAAGAGAATATGCTAAAATATGGCCCGGACAAAAATCACCAAGAAAAGCGAAAAAAAGTTTATGGATTATTATCACGTAGACAACATTTTCACTTTGTATACAAAAGTGGCAGTACGAATCATAACACAACTTGTCTGAGCCATTTTACAGGCATAAACAAATATTTTGATTGTTTT